GAACCCGGGACCCCTCAGTCCGCAGGCCGACGCTCCATCCACTGAGCCAAACCGGCTTCGGCTGCTATCTTTCTTTTTAAATATATTTTTATTGATTTCAGAGAGGAAGGGAGAGGGAGAGAGAGATAGAAACATCCATGATGAGAGAGAATCACTGATCGGCTGCCTCCTGCAAGCCCCCCACTGGGGACCAAGCCCATAACCAGGGCCTATCCCCTTGATCGGGAATCGAACCAGCGACCCCTTGGTTCCTGGGTCGACGCTCAACCGCTGAGCCACACCCGGCTGGGCAGGTGCCATTTATTTCAATAACATGTGTTGGTGAATCATGGTATCCAACATCGGACCGTTTCAACATGCAATCGACACAGAAAATGATGGAGATGTTTACCTTCTTTTTTCACACTCGATCTTCAGAACCCAATGTGTGTCTTACGCCTGTTTTATGCAAATGGCAGCTAGAGCTCATGTCTTAGGGCCCAGAGAGCCCCGAGGCTGGTGGCCCTCACGGGGGACAGGGGCCTCCGGAGTTCTGGGAAGGAAGCACCGAGAAGGTGGGAAGGCGGCCTGGGGGCAGACTGGGTCCTTTCGCTGCTAAGACACCTGAAGGAGCAGGAGTCTGCCTGCGTCCTAAGTTTGGGGAAAGAGATGGAAGAAAAGGGAATGAGGCTGGACACATTGCCTGTGAGCATCTTTGTGGTTCTGAGTCTTTGCACCCACCCTCTGAGGCAGCAGCCTTTCTTATCTCACGGCACAGAAACTGTTACTAAAATTCTGCGGCACACCAAAAAAAATATTATTATTTTTTTTGCCGACCTGACCAAATAAATAGGTATTCTGACTCATTTCCACTGATCCGCTACTATTGTGTTGGCTGTTGTCATTTTTAAAAAATATATTTTTAAATATATTTTATTGATTTTTTACAGAGAGGAAGGGAGAGGGATAGAGAGTTAGAAACATCGATGAGAGAGAAACATCGATCAGCTGCCTCCTGCACACCCCCTACTGGGGATGTGCCCGCAACCAAGGTACATGCCCTTGACTGGAATCGAACCTGGCACCCTTCAGTCCCCAGGCCGACGCTCTATCCACTGAGCCAAACCGGTTAGGGCTAAAATATATTTTTATGATTGATTTCAGAGAGGAAGGGGGTGGGAGAGAGAGATAGAAGCTTCAATGATGGGAGAGAATCATTGATGGGCTGCCTCCCGCAAGCCCCTTACTGGGATCGAGCCTGCAACCCGGGCATGTGCCCTGACTGGGAATCAAACCGTGACCTCCTGGTTCATAGGTCGACACTCAACCCCTGAGCCACGCCAGCCGGGCAGGACTCAGCATTTCGGAGACACACTCTCTCCAGTCACCTTACGCCCATGGGCGCCTGTCCCTCGCACAGTGGCTGCCATAGTCGGATTGTTATGTCCACGTAACAGATGAGGACATTGGGCACCGGAGGTCAGAGAGCTGAGGGGGTCTTCCCGGGGCCGCCCAGGGGCTGAGGTTAATGAGCCCACTGAGGCGCAGCTCTGAATTGTTGGTGAGGCAGCCATGGAAGCATGAAACTAGGAGGCCAAGGGCATGAGCAAGGGGCACACCGTGCCTCTCTCCTGCCCATCAGCAGCCCTGAGCATCCGCCTTGCACGCCCTCTGCCGTCTGCAAAGGACTTTTCAGCATCGATTGCACTTAACACCGGTTCTCAACCTGTGGGTCTCGACCCCTTTCGAAGGACCCTTTCACAGGGGTCGCCTAAGACCATCGGAAAACACATGTATAATTACATACTGTTTTTGTGATGAATCACTGTGCTTTAATTATGTTCCATTTGTAACAATGAAATCGGGGGTCACCACAACATGAGGAACTGTATTAAAGGGTCGCGGCATTAGGAAGGTTGAGAACCACTGGCTTAGAGTAAGGCCTTGAGGTGGGCTTTATGCTCCCACATTTGATGATGGGGAGACGCACCCCCGTCTGACTGTGGTTTGACTCCAGAGCCGCAGCACCCCTCTCTCTGAGCGCCCGGCAACCGGTGGCCCGATGCCAGCCCCGACGCCCCCACGGCCTGGGACAGAGGGTCATCCAAGCGTTTGAACATCCTCAGCCCTACGGGGAATGTTCCAGACGTGGGTGTCTGGCTATTAAGGCTCCCTTTACGGTTCAGCCACTGTCTTGAACTGCCTGCAGAATATTTTCTGTTAATATCCACATCGTGATCCAAGCGGACTCATTACCGTCCCAGAACGTCAGTCCATATCAACTCCTCGCGTTTGCACAAAATCCTTTACAGCACAAAGAAGCCAGCCATGCAGATGGCACAGATGGTCGGGGGGGGGGGGGCATGCATTGCAGGGCAGAGAGAAGCACAGGTGCAAAGGCCCTGAGGCTCAGCCAGCTCAGCTGGTGCAGGAAACAGTGAAAAGGTTAGTGTAGCTGGGGCAGATCCAGGGAAGGGAACGTGAGGGCCGTGGTGTGGACTGTGGATTGTGTTGTAAACCTGATGGGGAGATTTGAATGAATGATGCCGCCTCCCCCCACTATCCCTCCCGTGGTTTCCAGCTGCGTTGAGAATATAAAGAAGGCTCTGCAAAGTCCGGCCCCACCCACCTCACCAGGCACCTCTCTAGCCTCTCTGCTCACGGCCCCAGACACAGCAGTTCGACTTGTTCCTTGAACACAACTAGCTCTTTCCCATGCCAATCTCTGCCCGGATGAGCCCCTAGCCCCCTCCACACACCCCAGCTCCCCCCATATCTACCTAGTATTTCTCTGCTTCCAGGTCTCCGTTTACACATCATTTTCCTCGGCATCTCGATCAAAAAGTAACTTTGCACAGTTATTTCTTATTGCCACCCGTGTTCTCAGTCTTCATGGCAGGGATCACAGCTAGGAGTTATACGTCTGTCTCTGGTTCACTCACTTCCTGTCCATGTCCTTCGTAGACAGCCCAGTGAAGGCAGGGACCATGCCCGGTTCACACGCTGCTCTACACTCACCCTCGAGCCCTGCACCCCACGCAGTGGAAACGCTCAATAAACATCTGTGTCTGTTTGAGACCATGAGGACACGCACCAAGAGAGAGACCCTACCAGCAGCGTGGAGGAGTGGACAGGGCAGAGACTGGAGCCAGGGGATCAGGATGGGGAACGTGACAACAGCTTAGGGCAGGGGTGGGCAAACTTTTTGACTCGAGGGCCACAATGGGTTCTTAAACTGGACCGGAGGGCCGGAACAAAAGCATGGATGGAGTGTTTGTGTGAACTAATATAAATTCAAAGTAAACATCATTACATAAAAGGGTACAGTCTTTTTTTTTTTTTTAGTTTTATTCATTTCAAACGGGCCGGATCCGGCCCGCGGGCCGTAGTTTGCCCACGGCTGGCTTAGGGAAAGATGGTAAACACCTGACATTGGTCAGTAGCAGCAGAGGGCGGAATGGATGCCAGAGCTGTTCAGAAAGTAGAAGCAGCTGGGTTTGGTGACTGATAGGGCACAGGGAGAGGACAAGGAGAGCAAAGCCTTACTTTTGGGGTGATAGCTTGAGAGATTAGGAAAAGCATTGTCTTGGCCTTTTCCAGCTGCTGTAGCAGAAATATGGTAGACCAGATGGCTTATAAACAACAGATATTTATTTCTCCTGGTTCTGAGGCTGGGAAGTCCAAGGTCATGGCCCTGCAGATTCGACGTCTGGCGAGAAGTCACTATCTCTTTATTGTCCTCACAAGCGAAGAGGGCTCTCTTTGGGCTCTTTCCTAAGGGCACTAATCCTATGCAGGAGGGCCTTACCCTCATAGCCTAATCATCTCCCAAAAGCTCTACTTCCTAATACCATCATCTTGGGGGTTAGGATGTCAACATATGATTTTTGGGGAGACACAAACACTTAATAGCAAACATAGTGCAATGAAATTAAATAAAGGGGGAGGGGTGCCAACCGGTGTGGCTCAGTGGTTGAGTTTTGACCTTTGAACCAGGAGGTCATGGTTTGATTCCCAATGAGGGCACATGCCCGGGTTGCAGGCTCGATCCCCAGTGTGGGGCGTGCAGGAGGCAGCCAGTCAATGATTCTCTCTCATCATTGATGTTTCTCTCTCTCTCTCCCTCCCTCTCCCTTCCTCTCTGAAAGCAATAAAAATATTTTTTTTAAATAAATGAAGTAAAGCGGGGAGAATAAGATATTTGAGGCTACACATCAAATGCCAGATGTCGGACTTTGAGGTGCTTGATCCAGAGGGACATGTCCAAGAGGCAGTTAAAAAGGCAATTCTGGCCCTGACCGGTTTGGCTCAGTGGATAGAGCATTGGCCTGTGGACTCGGGAGTCCCGGGTTCGATTCCGGTCAAGGGCATGTACCTTGGTTGTGGGTACATTCCCAGGGAGGGTGTGCAGGAGGCAGCTGGTCAATGTTTGTCTCTCATCGATGTTTCTGGTTCTCTATCCCTTTTTCTTCCTCTCTGTGAAAAATCAATAAAATGTTTTTAAAGAAAAAAAAAAAAAAGACGATTCTTTCGCAGAATTTTAGTGATCAGTTTATGGCTGGACGTGTCTGTTCTGAACAACGATACCATTGGGCTGACATTCATAATGTGCTTGGCACACAGTAGGTCCCACGCCAAGCCAAGAGGCAGCATCAAACAGTGGCCAAGAGCCCAGTGTCCAGAGTTAGATTGTCAGGGTTCAGTTACCAGTCCCACCACTGACAACGTGCGTGGTCTTCAGCAAGGCTGCTTACGCTTTCTGTGCCTCGGTTTCCCCATCTGTGCAATGGGGGTAATCATAGAATCCAGGGCCTTGGGCTATTATCAGGAGTTTAACGCAGAGTCCTGTGTGTGAAGCTCAGTGAGTATTACCTGTTCTGTTCTAGGATCCCAGTGAGTCATCATGGTAGATGGGATGGCAGGCATGACATCAAACTTGGGGGTTGGTGGAAGAGGAAAGGGACCCACGGGTGCACAATTATTTTTTCTTCTGTCAATCCAGCAAGAAGAGGCTGGCCGAGATGAACCGATGGTCCACTTACCTGTTGGGGTGGACCACCTTCCTCCTCTACTCCTACGAGACAAATGGAGGTGAGTGTCCCGGGACATGACGGGGAGGATTTGGAAACTGGAAAGGGTGAACGGGCCACAGTAACGACTCCTGAATCCAGGAAGGCTTGGTAGGAACCTCAGGCAGACCTGGGGCTTGGACCCGTCTGCGCTGTGTGACCTTGACCAAGCAAGGCAACCTCTCTGAGGTCACTTCTCAACTTGTTGAAGAGGAGCAGTAGCATTTACTTCATGGGGCTATTTTTGAAAACTAAATAGAAAGGAAGAAAGAAAAAAAAACTAAATAGAATAGACACGAGCATCTTTCAAGATGCTCAGTATTTGGTAGGGGGCATGCAATGGAATGCAAATACGATGTTCATTTAAAGGGGGGGCTCTAGCCCTGGCTGGTGTGGCTCAGTTGGTTGGAGCATCGTCCCCTTGAGTGTGGCTGTTCCACAAAATACCACGTGCGGGCGCGCATGTACAGTGAGATTGAAACTTCGTGGCCCATGCGCAGAAGTCGGGATTTTGTGAAAGAGCCACACTCAAGGGACCAAAAAGCTGCATGTGGCTCTCGAGCCGCAGTTTGCCGACCACTGTCCTAGTTCATAGCTCAAAGCTCAACCCCTGAGCCACACCAGCGGGGTCCATGAAGTTCTTTTTCAATGATCACATTGTATATTCCAGAGATTCCTAACTGGGGGCCACTAGGCAAGCACTCGTATCCATGAGACCCCGGATTTGTATTTTAAAAGTATGTATTTATCAGGGTAGTGAGAACAGCTATTGTAACAAACTCCAAAGTATTAGAAGCTTCACCCAAGAACATTTTATTTCTTGCTCCTATGAAATCCAATGAGGGTGCATCTAGTTGGCAGGGATCCAGCTTCTTTTATCTTGGGGTTCCACCATCCCCAAGGACTTCAGAATGCTCTGTGGATTCTTTGCTGATAGACAAAGACCAAGAGAGTCTGGAAGACTTTGGAGGAAAGCCTATGTTTGGCCAGGCCAGGAAGTAACATCCATCACTTCTTCCCATTTCCACCAGCCAGAACTCACATGATGCTTAGCTGCAAGGGAGTCTGGGCAGTGTTGTTCAGCAGTGCATTTGGGAGGAAAATGAAGCTGGTTTTGGTGGACACACTGCCGTCTCTACCAGAAGGGCATACGAACCTTTTCCTAGAGAGAAGGTCTGGTTTCTTGAAACCACAGACAAGTCCCCAAAAGGTTAAGAACTCAATTTATTCACACAGGGAGCAATGTGTTTGATTAAATGTTAGCCTTCCCACTTATGGGTCTCATTCTGGTCAGCCATGCCTTCCTGAGCCCACACCCACATTCCGGTGCTGGAACTCGGTACCCCCAACCCCCCCTCCACATGTATTCATAAACTCATTTATCCTGTACATATTTGTTGAGTGATTTCTAAGTGCCTGTCACAATACTACGGGCCAGACACACAGCAATAAATAAAAGCCAGGCCTTGCCCTCGTCAGTTTGGCTCAGTGGATAGAGCGTTGGCCTGCGGACTGAAGGGTCCTGGGTTTGATTCCGGTCAAGGGCACATGCCAGGGGTTTCAAGCCCGATCTCCAGTAGGAGGTGTGCAAGAGGCAGCCAGTCAATGATTCTCTGTCATCATTGATGTTTCTTTCTCTCTCTCTCCCTCTCTGAAATCAATAAAAATAATTTTTTTAAAAAAAAAAAAGACCAGACCTTATATTCAGAGAGCTCACAGTGAATAGGAGTGATAAATACAAAAGCAAATCATTATATTCTTTTAAAAATTGGTGAGTACATTTTCAGAGATTGGCTCAGAGTACTATAAGAGTGAGGAAAGCCCTAGCCCGTTTGGCTCACTGGATAGAGCGTTGGCCTGGGGACTGAAGGGTCCCAGGTTCGATTCCGGTCAAGGGCATGTACCTTGGTTTCGGGCACATTCCCAGTGGGGGGTGTGCAGGAAGCAGCTGATCGATGCTTCTCTCTCATCGATGTTTCTAACTCTCTGTCCCTCTCCCTTCCTCTCTGTGAAAAATCAATAAAATATAGAGAGAGAGTGAGGAAGAGTATTAATCCAGACTGGACCAAGTCTTCATGGGGGAGGAGCAGGGGATAAAGCTAGGAAGAGAAGAAAGCCACTCAGGGCAGGATGGAGGCCATGAGCAAGACCCTCAAAGGCAAGCAAGAGCGTGGAGTAAGGTCAAGGCAATGTTCATCAGGGCGAGAGAACAGAGAGGTCAGCGGGGCCTGGATTATGGAGGATTTTAACCCAGTTAAGAAGATTAGACCATCTGCCGGACTACTTTGCAGATGGCTAATAGGGTCTGTTACATGTTGATTCTTACTCACAGCTCCCAAGGATAGCCTTAATGCTGTGTACCTGCCTGCCTACCCTTCACCACCAGCACCCCATTGACCCAGTGCTGCCCATCATTGAGGAAACTCACTGATGATCATGACAATGACAGGGATGATGACGATAGCTGACATTTGTTGAGTAGCAGCCATGCTCCAGGCACCCTGCTAAGTACTTTCTAAACCTTAACTCTTTAAAACTTGGCAAAAAAAACAACAAGACCAAACAGTTCTGAGACCCAGAGGTAGGAAATGCAATATTGCTAAGGAGCCTTAGTTGTACCCACCCATTGGGGAGGCTCAAAGATGGAGTTCTACCTTTTCCGTTCTGCCCCAAAACATCCTTATCCCTGTCATGGTCATTGCCAGGTTCTCCAGGGGGAGGGTCTGATCCGGAACAAGAGGGGGCTACTAGGTTGAAGATAGGGGCTTGAGTCTTGTCCGCCTGTATGAGTAACAGACCAACTGTTATAACAAACAGCTCCCGAATGTCAGTGGCTGAACCAAGTAGGGGTTCAAGTCGAACTCATCTGATTCAGAGACACTGGGTCCTTCTGCTGTGTGGCCCCACCATCCTGTGGGGGGAGGGAGTCAGCATTCTCTACCGGCGCCTCTTTATCCAAGTTTCTCAGCCTTGGCCCTATTGATATTTGGGCGGATGGCTCTTTGCTCTGGAGGGCTGTCCTGTGCCCGGCGAGATATTTAGCAACATCCCTGGTCTCTACCCAGTAGTTTCAGCAGCACCCCTGCCAGTCCCCCCTTCCCAGTTGTAACCACCGAAAATGGCTGCAAACATTGTCTAACCTCCGCTGGGGAGGGTCCTCATTGCCTTTCTTCTGTCAGCTGGCAGACAGAGGAAGACGGGAGCTTGAAGGCTTGCTTGAGATGTTATTTTTGTGGGGGGGGGGGGGCGGTTTTGAGCCAGAAAATGAACACCATTTCCGCCCAGATTCTATGAGTCATCTTTTGTGTGTGTGTGTGTGTGTGTGTGTGTGTGTGTGTGTGTGTGTGTTAATCCTCACCTAAGGATATTTTTTTAATATATTTTATTGGTTTTTCACAGAGAGGAAGGGAGAGGGATAGAGAGTCAGAAACATCGATGAGAGAGAAACATCCATCAGCTGCCTCCTGCACGCCCCCCACTGGGGATGTGCCCGCAACCAAGGTACATGCCCTTGACCGGAATCGAACCTGGGACCCTTCAGTCCGCAGGCTGACGCTTTATCCACTGAGCCAAACCCGTCAGGGCACCTAAGGATATTTTTTCCATTGCTTTCAGAGATAGTGGAAGGGAAGGAGAGAGAGAGATGAGAGACACATATAGATTGACTGGTTGCCTCCCACATGAGCCCCACAAGGGGTGCAAAGGAGTGAACCAGCAACCCAGGTATATACCCTTGATCAGGAACTGAACTGTGATCTCCCGGTTCATAGGTCAACGCTCAACCACTGAGCCACACCAGTCGGGCAATAAATAAATATATATATTTAAAAAGAACTAGTTGTTTACATGTGCATATGGTTTAACTTTTCCAAGAATCAAGACATCCCCTCCTCTTTTGTCTTCTGTTCTTCAGATGGCCAGGCTCCGTGTGTCTTTCCCTTCATCTACAAGGGGTCTGTTTACTTCTCTTGCACCAAAAAAGGTAGCCTTTCACCTTGGTGTGCAACCAAAGCGGTATATGACAGACACTGGAAGCCATGCTTGGTGGAAGGTGAGTGGAGCCACACTGTCCCATCAGCGCGTTTCTGTAAATCATGGGCTACAAAAGAGACAGTGTGCGTGTATGTATTTTTTTGCAGACGGGTTATCATAGACATGTGTGCATGGAAAATGCTCTGGGAAACTAAACATAATGTTCATGATGGGTGATAATGTTCACCAAATAGTGCTCTCTCAATGGACGGACTGTAACCAGTCGACCATTGTATTCTTTGTCTCTTTCTTAATTTTCTAAATTAATAAGAAAAAGAAAGAAAGGTTCCGTTTATGTTCTTTTTGCTAAGCCTCACCCAAGGATATTTTTTCTATTGGTTTCTAGAGTGTGGAGGGGAGGGATTGGGGCGGGGGTGGGGGAGAGAGAGAAACATGGATGTGTCTTTCTCACATCGGTTGGTTGCCTCCTGCATGCTTCCCATACAGATTACCCACGATGTATCTTCCCCTTCATCTATCGGGGAAAGTCCTACAGCAACTGCATCACGGAAGGCAGCTTCTTTGGAAAGCTGTGGTGCTCAGTCACCTCCAATTATGATGAGATGAAGCAGTGGAAATACTGTGCAATCAATGGTGAGGCACTGGAGCCAGGATGGGGTGCGCGGTGGAGAGGACAGTGGAAGTCAATGGTCCTCATGATGGGATGGTGGCAAGGTGGAGAGCTGAGCACTATTCTAGGAGACAAGGGTCTTCTTTTTTTTAATATATATATGTTTTATTTATTTCAGAGAAGAAGGGAGATGGAGAGAGATAGAAACATCTATGATGAGAGAGAATCATTGATCGGCTGCCTCCTGCATGCCCCACACTGGGGATCGAGCCCGCAACCCAGGTATGTGCCCTGACTGGGAATCGAACCCTGACCTCCTGGTGCATAGGTCGATGCTCAACCACTGAGCCACGCTGGCCAGACACCAAGGGTCTTCTCAGAGAGTACACGGTGACCAGCACAAGGACTCGTCAGACAGGCGCTGGTGAGAAGGAAAGTGGTTTATTCAAGAGCCAGCAACCTGAGAAGATGGAGGACTCTCCTCCCAAGGACCATCCCAACCTCTCAGTGCAGACAGAGGTTTTTACAAGAGAGAGAAAGGGGAAACAGAGCAAAGAGATCCAGGGGCGGGGTGGAGAGTTCTCTGTGGAGGGGACTAAGTTCTCACCAGCACAGTCTATCCTCGTTCCGTCCTTGAAACTGATCGAGTGAAACCCTTCTGGGTTTTTGTCATCCTAGTTTTATGTCATCCTGGTTTTACAGTTGAAGGTCAACAAATTTCCCAGCACTGGGATGACGGAAGGTCAGAGTCTGTTATCTTTTAAAGTTAGGTCCTGAAATTCTTATACCGACACGCTGATTATCTACAACTACATATTAGTCAGAGCCAGCATTTACAGAACAATGTCAAAAGAATGGTGTGGTGGGTTGCAGAGGTTAGAATTTGCTTAAATCACCAAACAGATGCCCAAGAATAGGTCCTGGAAGAAAAGGTACTCTTTAGCTCTGGCTTCCTCCGCTACATCGGGAAAGTTATCAAATCTCTTGGTCCGTTTTTTACCTTCAAAATGAGGACACTAAGGCTGACTTCAAGGTTTTATTTAAAGAGTAGAGTTCATTTTTATAAAAGATGTGTCACTGTGTTTTAAACATACCACATGCCTCAGAAATAGGAGTTTTCCACCTTTCCTATCATCTGAAAAATGGACTTTGAAGTCAGACCTGAGTGAGACTCCTGCTGTTACCACTTACCAGCTGTGTGATCTTGGGCACATTAGATAATACAAATAATAATAATGGTCATAATATAGTGAACCTTTTAGCACTTGAAGGGCAATAGTAAGCATTTGCCGTGTGCCTGGCATCGTTCTAAGAACTTCACATGCAAGAACTCATTTATATGCCACAACAACCCCTATGAGGTTAAAAAATATATATATGACCAGTAGCCCCATTTTTTAAAATATATTGTATTGATTTTTTACAGAGAGGAAGGGAGAGGGATAGAGAGAAACATCGATCAGTTGCCTCCTGCACACCCCCTACTGGGGATGTGCCAGCAACCAAAGTACATGCCCTTGACTGGAATCAAACCTGGGACCTTTCAGTCCGCAGGCTGACGCTCTATCCACTGAGCCAAACCGGTCAGGGCATAGTAGCCCCATTTTATAGATGGGGAAACTGAGGCTCAAAGATGTTCGGTTGTTAAATGGCAAAGCTGTGATTTGATCCCAGGAAGTCTAAGCTTCAGAAATTGTTCTCTTAATCACTTAATCCCCCTTCCTTTCCCTCTCCCTCTCCCTCTCCGTCTAGATCTACCTCTCCTTCTCCTCCTCTCTCTTTCCCTCTGCTTCTAAACCCAGGCCAGGCCTCTTGGTATAATTCTGATTCCCCCATAGAACCCACCAAAGCAGCCTTTTAATTAGGTGATGCTGAGTTTATTGCATAATGTAAGGGAGAACATAACCTTGACAGTGTCTTAATAGCATCTTGGAGGGAGGAGAGCAAAGTCAAGATGTTAGTTAGGTTTTGGGGGTCTTTCAATGTGGGGATGTGATGAGGATTGGGTGTGGGTAATAATATAGTTTAGAACTGATGGTCACGACAAGGTGACGTTTCTGAGAAGGATTCAAAGTATCTTAAAGAGTAAATCATCTTTTAAATTTTTTAAAATTTATTTTTCAATTACAGTTGAAGAGTAAATAGTCCTTTTGACATAATTTATTGGAAAGTTGAAAGGTCTGGTGTTTATTTAAATGGTTTTTCAGGAAATTCTCGGAAGTTACAATATTTGCAACTTTGATGTTCCCGGGCAAGAATTTCTTAGAATAGTAGAGTCCTGTTGATGAAGCCCATGGAACAAGAAAGCCCAGTTAACTGTGTGGGTGTCAATGGTTTGGGGTTCTCACTTATCTGTAAAGCAGAAAGAATAGCATCAGGAGAAGTTGCTTGGGAGTGTCCGCTATTATATTACCTTTCATGAGACAAAGCAAGGCCCATCATTGGTGTGTGATGAATGGAAGTCCTTTTCGTCTTCTTGACCCGTAACCTTTGTACGGTCATTTTCAGAGTTCGGGGGGAATTCCCTCAGCAAGTCCTGCATCTTCCCCTCCATCTACAGAAACTCTGTGATCTCTGAATGCATTGAGAACGAAGACAACAAGCTCTGGTGTCCAACCACAGAGAACATGGACAAGGACGGACTGTGGAGTTTCTGTGCTGACATCAGTAATCTGGGGGTGGGGATCGGGTGGGCGTGGGACACCCCCTCATTTATTTACTCAGCAAATGCTACTCCAGCCCTACTGTGAGCCAGACACTGTGCGAGGCTCTGGGGATACGGTGACCAATGAGGCAGAGTCCTGTTCTCATTGGTTTGATGAACAAGTAGCATCAATACGATTTTAAAGGGGTTTTTTTTGTTTGTTTGTTTGTCTTGTTTTGCTTTGTTAATCCTCACCCAAGGATATTTTTTCTATTGATTTTTTTTTTTTTTTAGAGCAAGTGGAAGGGAGGGAGAGAGTGGGGAGAGAGAGAAACATTGATGTGAGAGACACATCAATAGGTTGCCTCCTACATGCGCCCCGGCCAGGGCCAAATATTGCACCTGCAACCCAGGTACATGCCCTTGACCATGAATTGAACCTGAGAGACCCTTCGGTGCATGGGGCAAACTCTACTCATTGGAGCAACACTGGCCAGGGCAATAATTAAAGGGGTTTTTTT